CACTTCATTGGGCAGAATAAATCTGTCCATTGAAATAAATGCTCAAGCGCTAAACGCACCTTGTATTTACACACTTTAAGCGTGTCAATTGTTTTTTTTTTTTTTTTCTTTTTCTGCTAAAACGCTGCTGCTCTAGGACGCACTGGCAGTGGGTTTTTTTCCTGCCACAAAATGAGAACAGCCTGTGTGCATGGATACATAGGATGACATGCAGGGGCGTTCAAAGGCAGTAAATGCTTGATGTGCCTAAAGGTAGTTTCAAATAATGCCCAGTGTGTGAGGCCTTAGTCTTGAAGCTATGCGCTTGACTGTTCAGCTTCATCTCAGGGAAAAGGGTAATGATCTGCAAGGAAAATGTAGTAGACATGTAGTTTTCTCAGTGATCAGTTGCTGGAAATGTTTTTGTTTTACAATAGTCTGTTCTCTAGGCCAGTGGTCTCCAAACTGTGGCCCAAGGACCAGATGCGGCCTTTTGCTTGCTTTTATCTGGCCTTTGGGGCACTTTCATCCACTGATACTAACAATGGGGCATAATTCCTCCCCACACTGACACCAATGATGGGACAATTCCTCCCTCTGACACCAACAATGGGGCCCAATGATTCAATCAGTTGAGCCCAGTGACCTTCCTGATGAGGCGTAATTCCTCTGACACCAAAGATGGGGCATTGTTTTTGTTTTTTTTTTTTTCCCCCCCACTGACATCAGGACCTTTTCTATTCCCAATGGCAATGGTCTAGCCCCCTAACAGCTGAAGCACCATAAACTGGCTGTTTGTCTAGGAAGTTTGGAGACCCCTGCTCTAGGCTATGCAAGCATAGGGATCTTTATTGTAAGCCACATGAGTGTAATGTTTCAAACCTATTGGAATCTAGTGAATAGAACGGTTTTAAAAATAAGGCTCTTTATCCTGGTGTGTTGGCTTTGAATTGAGCCAGTGGTAAAAGGAAATGCTTGAATGTGGCACATATTTAGAGTTTCTGTTGCAGTATTTAGCTAGATCTAAGCCAGACCACTAAAATTGGATCTAGTGTGCCTTCCAGGTTTGACATGTGGAAGTATATGGTGTTTACCTCTTGCTCCCAGGATGTCTCACTGTAACTTAGAGACTCCATTTGCTCCTATGTTACTCTGTTCAGTCCAGCAGAGCAGGATAGGAGAAAAAGGGACGTATCTGCAACTAGACAGAGGGAAAGCTAAGGGAACCTTTTACCTCACAAGGACAAAGAATAGGATAAGCAGCTGTAAACCCTTTACTGTGTGTTTTCCAAAGTATTACCTTTTTAATATACTTTTCATGTGTTCATTCTTTGTTACATCTCAGTGCTGCTAATCTCTGCAGCTATTTCTATCTTCATGCAGGTACTCCGGTGTGATTGTATTTAGGAGTGGGTTTCCTGATGGTGACCACTGTGGGCTGTGACCATGTCTCCATTGGAAGCTGCTGTGACGATGCAGGAGCATTGTTGGGAGATGGGAACTATTTAACACAGTATGAGATCCTACAGCAAACGTTTTATTGCATCTTACAGATTCTTAGATGTGGCTGCACCAGTTTTCTTAGTCTTTTTCTCTTCACCTGGTGATCCAACCAGTGAGTCTTTTTCAACACAAGCTGTCCTGCAAATGAAGCAGTTTAGAGTGTTGAGACAAACCATTTGCCACAGATTGGTGCTTAGTGATCGACCTTTATTCATAATAATGTAGAACCTGTCGTGTAGATAACACTGTATTAGATTCTTTCCCAAGGTCCTAGAAGTGATGTTTACACGTTGCTTCTGGGTCAGCAAAAAGGAGGGGGATAGCAGAGCTTGGCTGCCTCCCCTCTACCTGCTGGTATCCACCATGCTTGTCAGATGTACATTCACTCTCCTGTGGCTACAGCCTCCGGGAGTGTGTAAAGTCTCTTGCTGTCAGGTCTGTATGATGTACAGAACTGGCAGTGAAAGGGTTAAATATACCAGGTGTCTTAAATATCAACTAGGTGCCAGTCTGAGGGTGAACACATTTTGGTATATATATTATGGAAAAATACAATATAATCTCCACACTTTTTTTGTTTTTTTTTTTTTATTTAGCATGTTTAAAAAGGGGTGTGTTTATGAGCAGCTATTCTAAAATTGCAGTCTGGAACCTAATGTTATGTGTTAAGCTGCCTGTAGACAACAGGTGACGATGACTGTTTAGAGGGTAGGGCAGATACCTGCTGAAAGGCCATGTGGTGGACATCTAGTGAACATGTTAGCAAATTTGCTCTGTCCTGTTTTCCGTTGCAGTAAGCTGAGTACACAGCATTTTCTGCACCCCTTCCTCACTTCATTCGCAAACCTTTCCTCTGGTTGTTCCTGGTGCTGGCGGTTGGTATGATCAGACCTGTATGGTCGACTTCACAATTACCTTCAGTGAATATCCACTATTCTAACAGCTGAATGTCAATTTTGTTAGGACCTCCTGTGATACCATGACTCTTTAGTTACTGTTTGGTAGTACATGGCTTGCTGTTATCTTAGGCAAAGTCTTAAAAGAGATAAGCATGCTATTGTATAAATGTTGACTTGTCTTATATGCTGTTTGCAAATTTGACTAGGTAAGGCCACTAAACCTTGGGTTAATCTGTACTATGATTGAGTTGAACCACTTAACTGCGTTATAGCCGAATGATGGCTGTGAAAAAAAACTGAAAGGATTAATCTACACCGTTGATCGGGGCACTAATTATCTGTGCAGCCCCAAAAGTGCCTCAGTGCTGGCTCATCGGTGCAGCTTCATCAATGCACATCAGTGAAGGAGAAAAAACTACCTGTTTGCTAAATTTTATAATGAAAAACAAAACATTTTTTTTCTTTCAATTTTTGGTCTTTGTTTATAGTGCAAAAAAAAACTGGTGCTTAAATACCACCAAAAGAAAGCTTGTTTGAAGTAAATTATAGAAATGTGTCATATGGGTACAGTGTTGCATGTCTGTGTAGTTGTCATTCAAAGTACAACAGCGCTGAAAATTGGCATGGGCAGGGAGGGGGGTAAAGTGGTTTGGCAAGTGGTTAAAGGGATCTGTTGTGATCTGCTTTATTTTAATACATGTTGGATTTGTCATTTACACTTTTACTAGAATATGGACAAGGCATTTAGTTTTTCAAATAAAGCTTATTACAGGTTACATCTGTTACTAGATTTACAGATCATTTAAGGGTTTCTGTAAGCAAACTTATCTTTTAAAGAGTCTGATAAAAATGTCTTTCTGAAATGACAAAGTATTAAAAACTGTTTTCACAGTAACATAGATAAGGTCTTCTGTAGTTCATAGATCTGAAAATAGTTGGCAGAGGCAGAGAACACAGGAAGTTACTGGTGCAGATTTTTTTTTCTGGCAGGATCAAGAAGTATTTTTTTTTTGTTAAAACCATCGAAACGCCTCTTTCAGTGGTGTATTTAATCAAAAGAAAGCAGAAGGGAAGTCTACTTTAAGTGGACCTGAACTCACAAATTAAAGATTTTCTGTGTTATAGGGAATATTTGGAAACATTACTTGTGCCTAAATGTAACCCCCCAAAATTGTACCCTTTGGTCTTAAATTCCTCTTTCAGCCATGATTCACACTGATGCGGTGTGGAATTTGCATCGGTTTCTGTGCGGTTTCTGAATCACATCATAATCGCACCCCATTCATGTGAACTGCTGCTGTGTGTGTGTTTTAAGTTAATACCCTGAAATCTGTTCTCAAAATGTAGTGTGGTGTGCAAAATCAAATCGCATCAGTATGAAGACCCATGCAATCGGTTTGTGGTGCGGACAAAGAGTGCTCACTATTTTGATGTGGATGCAGTGTGATTGAGTCATAAATGTATGGCTCAAATTCCACCGCACAGAAATCACATGTGATTTGCACCGGAATGCAGTGTGGTTCCTGTGCTAATGGCATACGATGTGCGCACTGCATCAGTGTCTTCCAGGGTTCAAAACAAACAGCAGTGCACTTCTTACTATGAGTAGATGTATACTTGTATAAGATCTGTATAGCACTGCTGCCTCTGGACTCCTGGTGGTCTTAGGCTGGCCATAGACAAGTCAAAAACAAAACAACCTGCCGAAAAAAAATCTAGCATGTTGGATCAGGCACTTTTGATTGCAGCATGAAAACTGGCTGGCACACTGAGATACAAATGAACTGACAATCTACAATCCGAAATATTTGAATTTACACTTTTCTACGGCCCACTTTAGGTTTTGAGTTAGTATGTGTGTCCCTCCAACCGTACACTGCAACTAATATGAACATGGCCCTACTAACCCTCTTGTGTTGTAACCATACGGTCTTTTTATTTTGTACAGTATTGCACAAACGGTGCTATAAAAATCCTGTATTAGAATCATGTCACTACTTCACCTGCTTATTCTTGCTAGTAGCTCTGACATTAGGAAGTAAAACTGCATCTACAACTATGACTGCTTTCCCGCAGCAGAGCAAGGCATTGTAAGTCAGTAATAGGGGAAAGATCAGCTGCAGGGACAACACTGGCAATACTAGTCCTTTTGCCCCTTGTTTGCCTCCCTTTTTTTTTTTTTTTTTTTTTTTTTTTAACTTCAGGAGTTCAGTCCCTCTGAAAAAGCTGGAAAACAAGAAAAGGGTACAGAGCACTTGGCTGCAAAGGGAAAAGACAAATTGTTTAATTTCTTGCTGCTTAAGTTTTTCTAAGGGTTTGTAACAATTCTTTGGTTTTTCTTTTAGGTTGAAATCGTTGAACAAAAGTGAATTTCATCAATGTCCGAGGGCTTTTTTTATAAAGTTGATTTGGTGCATCAGAACAAGTGATTTCATAGTTCAAAGACTTTTAAGAAGAACAAGCACTTGTTTTAAGTTGCATTAAGGACTCATTTACTGAGCAAGACATTATCTCTTCATTTGAAGAGTCCTATAAACTATTAGTCTCTGTACTGACTTTCAGAACTTGTGAAGCTGAAAGAAACTTGCAAAGGGACACTATTAAAAAACAAAAAACAAAATGAGCACCACAAGAACAGAGAACCCTGTTTTAATGGGTCTGTCCAGTCAGAATGGGCAGTTGAGGGGCCCAGTGAAACAAAGCCCAGGGCCTGGAAATGGGGGAACACAGACACAGCAAATAAACCAGCTGAAAAATGCCAGCACAATCAATAATGGAAGTCAGCAGCAAGCACAGAGTATGGGCAGTGGTATTAAGTAAGTTTTTTTTGTGTTTTTTTTTCTACTTATATCTGTACTGTTCTCAAGGTGGATTCATTAAATTGCATGTCAGTTTTTTTAACCTATGTTATACATATCATTTTACCAGTAAAATCACATGCATATATGCAAAAGAATCAAAAATTACCTTTACTTAACAGATGACTGGTTTAAAAAAAAATTGCAGTTTTCAGTTTTGTCCATCTCAGCAGAAGGCCAAACCTACAGGCCTCACTGCAGGCTGCTGAATTTTATGGTCCACATCCCTCCTACCAGGCAGGGTGTGAACTGGTTAAACACTACAAAAACTGAAAACTGCTTTCTCTCAGCTTGTTCATGGTTTTAAAAACCCATACATTTGATGTGCATAGATATACAATGACATGTTTTTTTATGCCACTTAACATCAGTTTTCTTTATGCTGGGGTTTTTTTATTACCCTTTTATCCTGTTGCAACGCTTTTTCCCTTTTGTGAGTTGCATTGCATTTTACATGCTCTGCTGGAAAGAAACATGAACTATGGTTTTGTGTAAATAAACAAAATCTGTGCTAGGAGATGGCAAAACTTACAAATGTCCATAAGCAACACAGTGATTGTCCGAATGCAAATCATACCTAACGTGTATATAACCTGTTGTGCTTCCCCTTTACTATATATGAATCAACAAGTGCAATTGATAACCAAAATATGCCCAACTCAATACATGTATCAATTTAATATACAGCATAATGGTAAAAAACGTGAAATGCATAAATGTGAAATCTTTTTGCATTTTTGTGAAAATTAACAAATACTGGATGCTGCCCTCTAACTCTATGAATATGGGAGAGCTCTGAAATGGAAAAAGAAATGTGTGCTTCCCACGAATATATGGCTGTTAATAATTCACAAATATTACAAAATAAAAATTCTTTACATGGATCTATCATATGTGTAAAAGTGGCATAAGTGTTCATGAACAATAGTGAAGCCAATGAAAATCTTTCCTTGGTGATGTAACAAGCAGTCCAGTGTCTCCTTCCAGTGTCCCACACCACCAGTATCACAGCCTCTTACTGAAAATCTAATCTGTAAAATGAAATCAATAGTGTAGCACACCATGGCCTATATGGGAACCTGATCTCCACTTTGTGGGCATTTATTTCTACTGCATGGTGCAGTTCAAGTAACACGGATTCATACAGTTTGGTGATGCATTTTGCTGCTCTACTGGATGCATTAATGTGGTTTTACTGTCGTATTTCTGTTCTTCACATAACCTCAGATCCCATGGATTGTTTGGCCGGTTTCTTGTTCCGGTTGGAGTGAGGTCAGGTACCAATATATCCATAGGGTGCTGCCTTCCTAGTGACCTACTAGACATGTGCTATTGATCTCTACAATTTAGATCTTCAGCAAGAGGCTTTGATACCTGTGGTGTAGGACATTAGAAGAAGACACCTGTCTGCTTTATCTTACGGAGGAAAGATTTTCAGACTCTTCCCTATTATAGTTCACTTTCTTCAAATTTGTGAAAAAAAACATGTCTTTCACTTGTTTGATAGATCTTTACAGAATTTTTCATGTTTAATTTGTGAATTGACAGTCTTGTATTAGTTGGAAGCTCACCTATTCATTTTTTTTTTTCTATATAAAATGGCCCAGAACCACAAACATATTAGTTGAGAACTCAGTGGAAAGAGTCCACCCCCAGGTGTGAAAGCGGTGGTTAGATATCACATGTGATCACTCCCTCTACTCAACACTAAACATGGCCTCTAACAAAGGCCATAAATGCAGAAGGGCAAGTGATCCCTGACTGGGGAGGTTCATCTGACAACTCCTCAAAAATGGACTATGAAGAGAGGAAAAGGAGTCTCCTAGAGCAATATTGTCAGCTTTAGTGTAAAAGGCACTAATAGGTACTCACATGAGGAAAAATTAAATGCACATGTATCTGCCAAATGATGTCTGCCAGCAAATGTGATGACACCCACTCGGGCTTCGTCCGAGTCTTCAGGGGCCAGTACATCTGAAATCAGTGGTAAAAGGCACGGTTTGGTGTTGGAGTGCAGGAGTGATCACATGTGATATCTAATCAGCACTGTCTCACCAGTAGATAGACTTTCTACTGGAGTTTTCGTTTGGGCCATTATATTATGAATGCTTTTTATTTTCACGATTATATATTTGAAATGTCCTGTATTGATCTATGGTTCTGTCTCTGCAATAGACCTGTGTTTTTAGTCTCTGTACATCATTTGAATGAACAATCTTTTTTTAAAAATGGAGTTGCGGTCTAGAAATGTAATAGATGGCAATGAATTGATCAGACTAACTGCATTGCTCTCTGTAGAAAGCAAGACTGTTGCTGTGAACTCTGTTCTGGTTTCAGTGCGATCAGATGTAAGATATATTAATCACAGTACAATGAGGTGGTTTTGTTTTCTTCACTAACAGTTCTCGTCAGCTCAGGCACACTGCTTTGGATGGCTGTGCACAGCCATCCAAAGTGTTGTGCTTACCAGTGAAGCACACACACCACCCCACTGTAAAACACACCCAGCACAGTTAACCCTTTGATTTCCCCTCATGTTAACCCCCTCCTGGCAAGGGCCACTGATCACTATTGGTTTCACTGGGGATGTCAGTGAGTGTCAGTTTCCCTCAGTGTCAGAATGTCTGTCTGTGCTGCAGTCCCGCTATGTTTCTTATCGCATCGCTGACATATATATACTCATCGCTGACATATACTGCCATTTGTAAAGCTATAACTTTCACATAAACCAATTAATTTACAGTTATTGGGATTTTTTTTTTTTTTTTTTTTTTTTTTACTGGACATGTTTGAATAGCAAAGTAACTTTTTTGTGTTTTTTTTTTTTTTTTTTTTTTTTTTTTTAATATATTGCAAAAAATAAATGCACAGGCAATAAAATACCTCCGAAAGAAAGCTCCATTTGTGGGGGAAAGACATAAATTTCAATTGGGTGCAGTGGTGCATGACCGCGCAATTGTCAAAGTAACAGTGCCGTAACACAAAAAATGGCCTGGTCAGGAGGGGGGGGGGGGGGGTAAATCCTCAGTGGTTTTGCACAGAGCAGCCTGGATCATCCGGTCCCCCACAAGCTTTCCTGGCCCCTCCCTGCTGTTTGGTGCCCTCACAGCAAGCTGCTTTCTATGTGGTCTCCTGCTGCTCCGTGTCCATTCACACATGGAGCTGCGGTGTGGCCCTGCCCTCTCACTAGCTGTGATTGACAGCAGTGGGAGCCAATGAGGAGGCAGAGACCTGGGACAGCCGAGGCTGTCATTCAGATCACTGGATCGCAATGAGGCTCGTATGTGCATTTTAGTTTTTAATGGTGCATGAAGGCCAGTGGGGGAGTTGGTGGGCTTGGGGGTGGAGCTTTCTTTCAACATTTGATAGTGATTTATTCCAATGGAAGGTTTATCTAGAACTGAGGGGTCCTTTAAGGATGCTTTGAGCCTATTTGTACTTTTTGTGTGATGAAACCAGTCCAGCACCCAAGAACTGATGCCTTTATAATGAGGCTCACGTTCCAGTAGTCTGCTCTGGTGTTTTCCTAGTCAGAATCTTATAATTCAATCTGGATTTGGAGGAGTGCCAAATGGCATTTCGAAGGAGGCATGAGGGAATACAATAGTGTCTGAAATTTTTGTTTGCGTATCAATTTTTATTCTTCCAAACCCAGGAAGGGGTACAATTTTAGATATTTTTTAGTCTTTGGGGGGGGGGGGGGGGGAATATTGGTAGGTCTTTCGGTAAGCAATGTGCTTTCAGATCAGACATTTAGTTGCTCCCAAATATTTAAAGCGTTCTTTTTTTGCTCTAAATGTTAGCTCACCTCTGTACAATATACCATTTAATATACCTCTGTTGCTGAAACATAAAAGCTTTATTTGATTTTTAGTCCTCATTCACATAGGACGTTTAACTTTCCTAGAAGCCAGCAGCATTTTTGCGGGGGAAAAAAAGCCTGACACTTGTGTCTAGAGCTTTTAGGGGTGCTGCTTCTGGACTTTTTTTTTTTTTTTTTTTTTTTTTTCCCCCCTGCCTCAACACTTTCGCTGCCGGTTCCGTACGGACCTGAGAAGGGACAAGCATTCATGGGCTCCACGGCTGCCGATTGCTTCCTCCGCCCCCCGCGACTGTTCTCACCCCCCCCCCCCCCCATGCGGTTTGCAGTGCAAGATATCTAATGGATCACAGAGGAGACATACAGGGTCCTTTAGACCCTGCGTGTCTCAGAGAACCTCTCACCCAAAAATCATCACATAGCAGACTTTGTATGTGAAGAAAAAGTAAAGTAAGAAAAGAACATTTGGTAAGTTACACCCAAGCATATAACATCCCCCCCAAAGAAATTGAGGCCCCCCCCCCCCATATCGTCACGCACACCAGACTGAGCAATAAGTCTAGCACTAGACAACTTCCAAAAAGCTAAACTGATGACCTATAGGGGTTTTTGAAGCGTTGTCAATAGAAAATATAGGGTACTGAAGTTTTATGCAATTTCATAGGCACACACAAATTAAGGTTTCGCATGTTTGGTATGTGTTTACTCAGCACAACCTCATGTGTGGGGGTTTTTTTTTTTTTACCAAAAATTTGGATAATTTATTGCATTTTCCCTAATAACTTTAGTGGGGGTTTTTTTCTGAAATGTTATGCTTTCTAGACCATTGCAATATTGTGACATAAAAAATTGGAACTACCACTGTTTTATTCTCTAGGGCAGGAGTGGCCAACCTGCGGCTCTCCAGCTGCTGCAGGACTACAAGTTCCATCATGCCTCTGCAAGTCAGTAACTTCCCATCTTTGCAATGCCTCATGGGAAATGTAGTTCCACAACAGCTGGAGAGCCACAGGTTAGCCACCCCTGCTCTAGGGTATCTGCTTTCAGGAAATATATATAATATTTGAAGGTTTTGTGTAATCTTCAGGCCTATATTTTGATTTTTTTTGTAATGTGCAAAAATGCTAAAACGTCTCTA